ATGGGTCAGTGGATGTATGAATAAATGGGTATGGCAGTAGATGGGTGGGATAAGTCGCTAGTATGGCATGTGGGTCCATCAGGATAATCAGCTCAGGAGTAAAGGTTCAGTTGGTGAGAATGGTCAAGGGGACATGCCAGTGATGAGTTGGATCATCTCAGGAGATCTCCAGCCTGATAGTTCCCCAACCCTACACTGCCTATTTCTATTTCCTAAACAAAATCCATAAATCCAATAGCTCCCAGACCATCAACAACCTCATCACTTCAGGAGATCTCCCATCCAGAGCTTCCGACGTGATAGTTCCCCAACTCCACACTGCCTGTTTTTATCTCCTAAACAAAATCTGTAATCCTGACTACTCCCAGACCATCAACAACCTCATCAGCTCAAGAGATCTCCCATCCATAGCCTCCAACCTGATAGTTCTCCAACCCTGCGCCACCCGTTTCTATCTCCTACCCAAAATCCATAAACCCGACTGCCCCAGTCAACCCATTGTCTCTGACTGCTCCTGCCCCACCAAGCTCATCTCGTCCTACCTTGACTCCATTCTTTCCCCTTTGGTCCAGGAACTCCCCACCTACATTCATGACACAACTCACACCCTCCCTTCTCCAAAACTTTCAATTCCCTGGCCCCCAACACCTCATCTTCACTGTGGACATACAGTCCCTGTACACCTGTATCCCCCATAAGGAGGGCCTAGAAGCCCTCTGCTTCTTCCTCTCCCATTGGCCCAACAGCCCCCCTCCACTGACACTCTTGTTCACTTGGCAGAACTCGTCCTCACCTTCAACAATTTTTCTTTTGATTTCTCCCACTTCCTACAACCCAAAGGGGTGGCTATGGACACCGCATGTGCCCAAGTTATTCCTGCCTCTTTGTAGGATTCGTGGAACAGTCTCACTTCCAGAACTACACCGGCACCACCCCTCATCTCTTTCTCCATTATATTGATGACTGTATCAGTGCTGCCTCATGCTCCCACGAGGAGCTCGAGCAGTTCATCAACTTCACTAACACGTTCCACTGCACCCTCAAATTGACCTGGACCATTTCTGACACCTCCCTCCCCTTCCCGGACCTCTCCGTCTCCATCTCCAGGAACCGACTCACCACTGACATTCATTTAAAACCCACTGACTCCCACAACTACCTTGATGATATCTTCTCTCACCCACCCTCCTGCAAAAATGCTATCCCATACTTTCAATTCCTCCGCCTCTGCTGCACCTGCTAACAGGACGAGGCATTCTAAAACCAGGGCATCCAAAACATCCTACTTCTTTAGAGACTGTAGTTTCCCCTTCTCTGTAATTAAGGATTCTCTTAACTGCATATCCCCCATTTTCCACACTTCTGCCCTCAAACCCCTTCCCCCAACAACAAGGATATTCCCAAGGGCCTGAATATTGACTTCACCAGCTTCAAAATCCCTCCACCCCATGCCTTATCCCATGTCCCACCTCCCTGACCTGACCTAACCTGTCCATCTTCCTAGTCGCCTATCTGCTCCACGCTTTCCACTGACCAATCAGTATAACCCCTTACCTGCATCCACCTATCACCATCCCACCTACCTTTCCCCAGGCCCATCCCCCTCCTTTTTATTTCTGACCTCCTCTCCCACTCCCCTGACCTGACAAAGGGTTTTGGCCAGAAATGTTGACTTTCCTGCTCCTCGGATGCTGTCTGGCCTGCCGTGTTTGTCCAGCTCCACGTTTGTTGACTCTGGCTTCCAGCATCTGCAGTCCTTGCTGCCTCCTGGATCTCTAAAGTGTCAGGACAGGCTGAGAGGATAACTTGCAGGACAGAGGAGAGTCAGGTTGGGTTCATGGTATCAGGTCAGGTTAAATTGGGGTCAGGTTGTGGGAGAGGCTCAGGGGATGATGCTGGGGGACAGTCAGGTTGAAGAGTTTCAGTGGTACAAACACAGAGAATGTTGGAGAAAATCAGCAGGTTTGGTAGCATCTGAGGAGACAGAAACTAAGTTAAACCTTTCCAGCCCAATATGACTCTTCTTCTGAACTCAGAACTTCCGAACTGCCAGACCTACCAGAGTTTCTCCAACATGCTCTTTGTTTCAGATTTCCTGTATTTTTATTTTCTTTGGGAGTTCAGTGGTTATTGATTTTATTCTATCTATTGGGTGGCACGGTGGCTCAGTGGTTAGCACTGCTGCCAGGGACCTGGATTTGATTCTCAGGCGACAGTCTGTGTGGAGATTGCACATTCTCCTCATGTCTGCGTGGGTTTCCTCCGGGTGCCCTGGATTCTTCCCACAGTACAAAGATGTGCAGGTTAGGTGGATTGGCCGTGCTAAATTGCCCATAGAGTCCAGGGATATGCAGACTAGGTGGATTAGCCATGGGAAATGATGGGTGATAGCATAGGGAGGTGGGACTGAATGGGTTGCTCTTCTGAGGATCGATACGCACGTGATGGGTCGAATGGCCTGCTTCCGCGCTGTAAAGAGTCTGTGATTCCGTTTTATAATCTCCTGGGTGTTAAAGCAGGTTTTCATTCTCTAACCTCAACAGTTACCCAGGAAAATGAGGTGGGTTGGAACACTTCCAATGGCAACAAATGTTTCACATCTCTTCCTGGAAGCGCAAGTACCATAGGGACAGCGTGTGAATCCTTTCCCAATTGCACTTCAGTTCTTCAGCTGTTCTACTGGAGGAAACCAGAATATTGCAGAAATAAATGAAAGTCAGCGGCAAAGGAACAAGCCAAACCCTTGATTAACAGAAAGCAAGTAAAGTGTAACACGAAATGTGTCAAATATGTGAAGGTTAATTAATGGAACATGATAGGAGCATGGACTGGAGCAGTTTAAGGGGGCAGCTCACTACCACTTTCTCAAAGACAATTAGAGAGGAGCAATCAGTGACACCCAGATCCCACCAGTCAGTAAAGAAAGACTTGAATCCCAATGCTGGTTAAATCACATTGCAGAAGGACAACCTACCATATGCATCATGAAACATTACCCCAGTGACTCCAAAAAAGAGGATTTGATTTAAACATATTTTCTAATGAGCAGTCTTGTATTTCAACGTGCACATAGAAAATTGGTGCGGAATTATAAATTAGATCTTTGAGATTAAGTTGACGCCGCTTGTAGCACACCGAAGCCTAGACATTAATCACGTCCCTGTGCCCTGCCTCACGAACACAACCTGGCAGTGACATAACCTGGTTAATAGAATTGGTCATTAGTGCGCCAGGGTTTGGCACGACGAGAAGGAAGGGCAGTTATTGAAACCGCTCCTATCTCAAATTGCATGTCTCTGCAGCGGGAAGGAGGGGACGAGCGGAACCGAGCCTTTGGCACGTCCTCTCTGGGTGGGACATCCTTCACCTGTTTAGTCTCCTGCCGGAGGCAAACAGGAGATCAAACTCTGGCATGTCTGCACAATCTCTTGATGGAAAAAAAAACAACTCAGAAATCAGGGAGATGTTGAAAAGGGATTTAAAACAACCTCACCACCCGCCCCCCCCCACCCCCCCAAAACCTCTCCCCATCACCACACAAGAAATAACGACCTGTGAATTTGAGTATTAGGAACTTCCAGTGGGAGAGGGCAGTGGTAATGTCAAGTCTCCATCAATAAGACTGCCCAAGGCCCAAAACATGAAGGGGAAAAGCATCTCAGCACTTCACTGATCCATTCAACTGCGAAAACTAATGGTCAGATGAGGTTTAACAAAATATCTGTCTCCGTTCAGCACCTGATCAGGTACGAGGAGAAAGGAACCCAACACAGAACCCCACACAAAGCATGGACTGTGCAATCGGCTCTGCCAAAGATGTCTGGGGAAGGTCTGGCCCCATTAAAACCCCCACCCCAGCCCCTTTTTTTTTGTCTGGAAGCAGCAAGAAGCAAAGCTGACCCCCGTCCAGCCTATGCTCTCCCTCCACCCCCCAACCCCGTTGAGCGGAATGGGGAACATGTTACTGCCGGTTTATTGCAAGCGCGGTGCAAACCACCACAAAAACAACAGAGAAAACTCCGAGCGGGAAACTGGCAGGCATTAACACTCCGGCAAAAATGATTCACTGCCGTCGCCGCCCGCACTCTAAATAGTTCCCGCGGAAATCGGTACGTTTCATTTCTAAAAAGGAAATAACCCGAGAGAACAACTTTTCCCTTCACTTTCGTGAAAATCAAAGTCGGGTGGCAGGTAGAGAAAAGGCGCACCTCAGAAGTCGTTTCTCGAGAAAGAGACTGTTGCAAACTTGAAGTGTTGAGTTTAATGAAAAGTGCGTTTGTGAAGAAGTCACAACCTACTCTCAAAGAACGCACTGTGCTGAAATATGAAGTGACTTCCTTTTACTGGGCAGACTGACTGAACTAAAACCTGACTTATTATTAGCCCTGACTGTTAATGTATGTATGTTCTGCGATGTTTTCTTGGTGGGAACGTTGCATTGAACGCTCACGCTGTTAGACATAGGAGCCCAGTTACATCCCTGGGTAAACAGAGCAAAACCTGACAGCCCACACACTGTGCCAGGGTATCCTGCGTTAATCATCGCAGTCACACAACCCTGGCCGCTGTCAGTGTGTGGATCCCGTTCAGAATAAATAAGCGAGGGAAAGAACAGTCACTAAAGAGACCGCGTTCGAGCTCATAAAAGGTGATCTGTCTCTATTGCCCCTGGCTATCTCTTCAGACCTTCCCTTCTTGATCGAGTTTACCCATTGCCTATGCATTACCAAAGTCTCCACCCCAGCTGCTGGTTTCACTTTTTTTTAATTAGGAGGAGGCAGGAATTGTATTAAAATCAGATATAGCTCCACATTTCCCACCAATAGTTTTCTTGCACTTCGAAACTTTACCCGTTAAATTTCCAGATTATATCTGAGCCGCACAGGCGGACGTAACTATTTTATGACGTGGTGGCCATTTCCTCCCGGTGGGGAGAAGTGTCTTCCTCCTCAATAGACCAAAATCCCCCACACCCAGAGCAACAAGCGGGCATTCACCAGTGAGGCAGAGGCCAGCAAGGTGAGCTGAGTCCAGTCTACACTCAACTGGGATAAGCAGAGACAGACACTAACAACACGAGGCGGGCGGGACTCCACAAATTTAGCTGCAACTCCGAAAAAGAAGTGTTACTTTTCTTTTATAATTTTGACAGGATTCAGTTTCTGCGATAGCTGTCAGGTAAGTGTGATCCATGTGTTAAAACAGTGCAAACATTTGGCAGTCGAACGGATCTAGAGGTTAAAAAGAACAGGGATATAGTGCTGTGCTGAGTTTAGTGATAAGGGAGATTGGGACTCTCCAGATGTCTGTGTTAACGCCACACAGTCTCCCCTTCTCACTTTAGATAATAACTGAAGTGAAACTTTGTAAGGAAAGTAAATGTTTCTCTTTGTTGCAAGAGCTGGTGCATTGAAAAGCTTAACTCCTCGCGCACTGTATCGGGTCATGAGGTGACTGAATATTGATGCTGACGGCGAGAACCGCCTGTGTGTTTCTGCTGATTCTTTACTGTCCCCACTCTAAATACAGGTGGGACTTGGGAACCGCGTCGCCCTAGGACAGTAACGTTACAAAGCCATCACAGCGGGTGTCAGCAGCTGGGAAATATTTGTAGGGAAGATATAGTTAATGGTGTGATTGGCTGCGATTGCAGAATGTTTGAGCCATGTGGATTTCGTTATTGAATTCCGCTGCTTAAAACAGTCCTGTCCATAACTGTCGACTCTCCAAGATTAGAAATTAGCCAGCTTTTTAGACTACGTGTTTTGAATGTAAAGGGTTACTGGTCAAGCATCCACATTGTTGGGGAATGGATGTTAGATGCAGCCTTGCTGGTGTTATTTGATTAGATACGATGTTTGTCACAGAGATTCATTGTCATCTGCCACTCCAGCTTCGGAGCCAAGAGCTCCGGGAAGTTTAGAGTTTGTCCACGAGGCATAAAAAAAGTACTGGTTTATTCCAGATCTCATCTCAATCAGAATCGCGAGCAAAATGTGTGAACCGCTGTGTGGGAAAATTTTCAGCTAACATTGTTAATATTGGCCACCCGGTTTCATTGGCGTGCTGTTCTGATGAGGAGTCACCGAACTCGAAGCGTTAACTCTGATTTCTCTCCACAGATGCTGCCAGACCCGCTGAGTTTCTCCAGCAATTTCTGTTTTTGCTTTAGTTCCGCAGTTATTTGCTTTATTTTGTTAGCGTCCTCTAGATTCTCCCTGGCCCAACCAATGTTAAACCATTTATCGAAATGCTCTGACACAGGTTACATTAACGGAGGTTCATCTCTGGCCGCTCCGCATTCCCTCATTTATGGCATCCAACAAGTTGAATGGACAAAGTAAAAACCGAAAGAACTGCAGATGCTGTAAATCAGGGACAAAAATGAAGTTGATGGAAAATGTCTGGCAGCTTGTGTGAAGAAAAAAAACAGTTAACGTTTCGGGTCCGGTGACCCTTCCTCAGGACTCAGAATGGACAAAGTGTTCATTTGGGCAAGCTATTTGCCCAGTTTTGTTTTTTGTAATTTTAAGAGTAGGGAGCGGCATCTGCTAAACAAACCATTGTGCGCGAAGTGTAAGGGAATCCAGTATATTCATAATGCCCTCCTTTATTGAAATGAATGGGAGGGTTTGTGTCTGTTGACAGTACAGTGTGTGTATATGTTTGTACATGTACGGGTGTGAAGAGATTTTCTATGGCAGCTCTGCGCCACCTACTGCTCATTTAACCAATGTTTGTAAAATCGGCTCATCATCGTCACCACGGAATGTCATTTCCCCCCAAAATTAATCAATGAGTTGCACAGTCGAATCTTCATTCAGCTTCAAATTAGGAGGAAAATGGGGATTGGTTTGCACTGTATAGCATTCTGACCCTTTCAGATGCGCTGTGTAAAACGTTAATGTGAATGATGCAATTTTTAAAAAAAAGATGTACAATCTGTATCTGTGGACATGGGCAATGGGGCAGACCCTCCGAAACTACCAGTCATTGACGATGTTTGTGTGATCCTTTCCCGTTTGCAGTTGACTGCAGTAAGCTACGAACGTTCGGAATCCAAATTTCAAGCGTATCCAATCAGGCGACAGTGTCATCTAGAATCCCTGTTCCAGACATAACACGAGTGTAAAATGTGAATCCAAGAATAACATGTGCTCTCATGTTGAATAATATCATGCCAACACGTGCAGTCACCTTTGGCGCACCTACAACATTTTTAAAATGCACATTTTAAGATGATAGAATATTGTAAATTACACGAAATAGTTGGAACACAAATACACGGGGGTACTTTGGCAAACTCAAATCTTTAATGTAATTCAGCTGTATTCCAAAATCTGGACAACATGGCCATTGGCCCTGGTAAACATCTTTAAGAGCTGCTCTGCAAAGCTTTGAAGGACACCTTGCTCTCTGATTCCACAGAGTATATTGTGTAAAGGTAACACTTATCCAAAATAGAATCATAAATTCTCACAAAACAGAAGAAGCCCATTAGGTGCATCATGCTTATGCCAATTCTTAATCCAATTAGTCCCGATGCCTTGCTCTTTCCCCAAAGACTCTGTATTTTTTCCTGGTTCATGTATAGACCTAATTCCTTTTTGAAAGTTAAAGCAATTGGTGCCATGATTTGGATTTGAATTAAAGCCATTGTGACTATAGCACAGAGCACTAACCACTTAATGCGCTACATGTGCAGCAAGCTGGTAAGTTAAGGACATTGTCAAATAGTGCACAGCCACCATGCCAGAGGCTGAGGTTGTATTCTTTTTTCTGCACAATCTGCCCAAAATCAGCCAAGCCACAACAAAAGACCATGGAATTCCAAGTGCAAATCAAATGTCGCATGCAATATGTTTCCTCAAACCTTTGCATGAATTTAAAACCATTGTACGATGTTAGGAAAATTCACAAAACCGATCATGCTTCCTGACTGAATTAAACACTGTGCAGTTCCCTGATTGTGGGTCATCAAGAAGGCTTTAAATATTAAGGGCTTTTTTAAGCCCTTGAAAACAAATAGATGCCTTTTAAAAGTTTCTGTTTTACTTATTAAGAAACTGATTGCTGTCAGTTACAACCCTGTAACTAGCATATGGTTCTACTTAACATTTTTTGAAACCATTTCCGTAGTTTTAAATTGGATACTAACAGATAGTAAACTAGACACCCTGATTAAAAATGCTTATTTTTGTGACAAACCCATTTCAACCTCATTAATTAAACTGCATCAAGCTACCATTTTTAAATATATCAAGAATATTTTCAAAATATCTTTTAAAATCTTTCAAATATTGGGTCATTTCACTGATAGCAGAAAGCTTTGAACAATCCTAATTGATGGTATGATATTGAAATCAAAAGATGATGGAGCAGTTTCCATTTATGTGACTCCTTTTATCTTGAAGCCATCATTTCATTTTCAGGGAGGAAACTTTTCATGTGAAAACAAGGCTTTCCTTATTATCACATTTTCAGCTCCTTCTGCATTAACCCATGCATGCTGGAGCACTAGGAGAAAGGCTCCTGTAGAGACCTGGCATTGGTATGTGCTATGACCATTCTAAGATCCCATTCCAACTTTTTGTACAGGCCTACAACGTGAAATGGTACAAAATATATATTTTGAAGCAATCAATTCAGATTGGACTTCTCATTGGCATCAATTAATTTTAAAAAATATTACATCATCAGTATTTGAGTTGACAGCTAAAGGGTCACATGAACTCGAAACTTTTCCTTTTTCTGACGTTTAGCTGGTGTAAATTTAAATATTAATTTACCATTTGCTGAACCTGCAGGATTCTCGCAATAATTGATAGATTAACCAGATACAACACATATAAGCAATAGTTAAGGATCGTGAGATCATATTTTTGTCTTAGATTTTAGAACATGTCTTAAAGGCTGTGGTAAAAGATTAATAACGTCCAGCCTTCTCTTTGGGCAATGGCGCCAACTCTGGCAGCCCATTACATGTTTCAATGCAATATTGTGTGACAATTTTCACTATTTATCTACATGTTCTGCCTGAACCCTTTCATCATTAATATGTTTGTGAAATAACAATACGAAAGCAGAATTACAGTAGTTTTAATTATAATGCAATGCCGCTTCCGTGATTCATTGAGAACCTGTGACCCCCCCAAATTTTCCAGACAGATAACATTACATGATTTAATTATTTTAATGCCCATAATTTCTGGTCTTGTCCAAATTGGAAATTCATTTGGAAAGCTGTATAAATGTTAGATTAAATTAACAAACTCTAAGATTTTACTGTTCATCCCTCAATAATTGCCCTAAACCCTGGGCTGCAAACAGTTAAATAACAGTTTCATGATGTAATTCATGCAACATTCACATAGAAAAAAAAATTTGAATCAAGATGTTAAGATGGGTGATCATAACAATGCATTGACGGCTCTAACTGCATTCTTGGCAAAATATTCAATGTTTACATGTAAAGGCTTCATTCTGTAATGCTGGGATTCATCTTATAAAGTGCTTTGTGCAATGCACATTCGGAAACCTGAGGCAGTGTGAATTTCCAAAGGGCTCCAGATGTTTTAAATGGAGTTGGTGCTGCCATCAAGTGGCAATAGATAGGATTTCAGCCAAAAGATTTTTTGAACTATTTCAAATACCTTTTTAAGAAAAGAAAATTTATTTTTCATTCATGGAATGTGAGTGTGCCTTGTAAGACCAACATTTATTGCTCAACCTGAATTGCCTTTTGGAAGGTGGTGTTCAATCTCTGTCTCAAACCACTGAAGTCCATCTGGTGTAGGTGCACCCACATTGCTGTTTGGAAGATTTTGACCCACTGACAGCGAAGGATCAGTTATATCTTTTCAAGACAGGGTGGCCTGCTGTGCCTGTTTTTGCAGGATCTAGAAGATTTGGAAGGTGCTGTCGAAGGAACTTTTGCAATTGGCTGAAGTGCACATTTTAGATACACGTGACTGCCATCGTGCAACAGTACTAGTGATGAGAGTGAAAGTTGAAGGTGGTGGATGGGCTGCAAATCATGTGGGGAACTTCACCCTGGATTGTGCACTCATCCAGGACAAGGGTGTATATTAGCATGGATGGAAGATTAGCTAACTAATAGCATTAGGATAAAGGAGAAATTTTCAGGATGGCAAATTAATTGGTAGAGTGCCACAGTG